AGCTTAACCCAGGACAGTATTCCTCCCAGGCTGCCTGTCCTTGCTTTCACCCTCTGTAGGCTTCCTTTTTGTGCTGGAGTTTGGCCAGGAACTACTTGTTCATCTGCACAGACCTCCTGGCATTTTTGCCTGACTTGGGATGTGTTGCTCCTGAGCTTGGAGGAGGTGTTCCTTGAATGGAATGGACATGTTCCTCATGTCTCCATGAGGGCTGTGTGGAGACCTCATAGCAGCCTTCTGGGGTCTGAAGAGGGCCTATAAGGATGCTGGAGAGGGACTCTTCATTAGGGACTCTAGTGGTAGGACAAGGGGGAATGGGGTCAAGGAAGTTTAGATTAGATATCAAGAAGAAGTTCTTTACAGTGAGGGTGGTGAGGCACTGGAATGGGTTGCCCAAGGAAGTTGTGAATGCTCCAACCCTGGAGGTGTTCCAGGCCAGGTTGGACAGAACCTTGGGCAACATGGTTTAGTGCAGCGTGTCCCTGCCCATGGTAGGGGGGTTGGAATTAGATGATCTTAATGTCCTTTCCACCCCAAACCATTCTATGATTCTATGATTCTATGAATGTTAACCAGTGTTCTTGGGGCCCTCTTCCCTCCAGAGCTTTAGCCCATGGTACTTTACCAAGCAGACCCCTGAAGAGGTTGAAGTCACCTTTCCTGAAGTCCAGGGCAGCAAGCTTGCTGTGCACCCTCCTCAATGCTCTAAGTATCTTGTACTCCACCATTTCAAGGCTGCCCTTGAGCTTTATATTCCCCACCAGCCCATCCTTGTTGCTGAGAACAAGGTCCAGAAGAGCACCTCTCCTCGTTGGCTCCTCTGGCACTTGGAGAAGGAATTTATCTTCAGTGTATTCTAGGAATATCCTGGATTGCCTATGGCCTGCTGTGTTGTCCCTCCACCACATATCAGGGTGGTTGAGGTTCCCCATGAGAATCATGGCTTATGAACGTGAGGCTGCTCATCTGCCTATAGAGGGCCTCATCTGCCCGGTCTTTATGGGCAGCCTGTAGCAGACCCCCACTATAATGTCACCTGTCCCTACCCTCTTCCTAATCCTGACCCATAAGCTCTCAGGTGGCTCCTCATCCATCACCGGGAAGAGCTTGGGGACAGGAACTTGCATATTGCAGTCTTCAGTGTTGCAATACCTACATTCAGGTGTTTTGTCTGCTTATGAACTTTACAAGCCAGAGTTAAGTTCTGTGCATAAGGCAGAGTGCTGAGAGGAAGACAAGGAATACCATCTATCAGAATCACCAGGAAATGGCAAGGGCACAGGTGTGGCCTTACTTCTCCAGAATGTGTAATGCTGGTCTGAGTTTATAAATACTTTCTCCTGGATTTTGAAGTCTAACCCCAGTCTTTCAAAACAACCTTATCACCTGTGACTTGAGCAAGAGGTTTACACAGTTCTGTGAATGACTGCTGAATTTCAGTATGAGAATTAGGCACTTCAGAGAAAATGGAGTAATAGCCCTTTGGTAAATCAGTCTCTGCCTCATTAGCAGGTTTTTTTTGTTTGGTTTTTTTTTTCCCCACAAATATTAACTGTAATGGATCATATATGTCAGCTAACAGTAGGCAAAGCAAAAATATCTCTGCAGATCTTCTGCCTCTACTTCTTTTTCCCATCTTGAGTTTCTAGGGCAACATCTTTAGAGATGTGCTGAGATACCTGACTTTTTTCCACTGCCTTTTTTCTAGAGGACAGGCTAATTTCAGACTGCATTCCAGTTTCAGTGTTATCATATCAGACAAGTGGTTATCGCATTGTTCAGACTGAGAGCAGCACAAAAAATTCCCTTTGACTTTGAGAATCACAGATCGGTTGCTTTTACATTATCTTCAGCACTGGCTTGTCCTGTCCAAAGTGTGTAGGTAGCAAACTCTTTTTTAACCAAATTGAGACTGTGGGGTATTCTAAACTTAGCTGGAGAATTCACATCACCTCTGGAATCAACCTAATGGATTGCTGCTGCTGAACAGTGACAGTTTCAGTCCTGTCCTCCCTGCTCCTCCTTTTTCCTTGTTCATGGTCCCACTTCCTTGTGAAAGTTCTTAAGCTCATTGGGTTCTTATATGACCTCCCTGCTTTTTCTTTTTCCTGAGCTAGTTGTCTGCTGCCTGGCTCAAGGAGTCTAGCCAACACGGAGGTGATCACAGGAAGCTTAAGGCAGAGGAAGAATATGGAAGGAGACACCACAGATTACCCTTTCTGTGACACTGAAGATTGACTTTTTTGTCGTGGGACTTTCTCTCATTCCCACAAAAGAATACTGCTGCAGTGCAGGATTAGTTTGTCTTGCTCCAGTGACACTAGTTCATGATAAACCCATTCTTAAGCCTCTCTCCCTCACATCCTTCTCACCATCCTGTTCTTGATCTTGCAAAACAGTGCTTGTTGTTTATATAATACTCATGTCTGTCCTCTTCCAAGCTGAAGTAAAATTTGTGTTCCTTTTTTGTATTTTAGAAAGCTATTACAGGTTACTACCTTGGCTTTTCTTTATTGCACAGAATCCAAGAAATACTCAGTTTCACAGCAAAGATGACGTTCGTCCCCCTCTGAAGTCCAGTAAAAAGTTGTTCCAGATTACTGCAAATATGGGAGCTGCTGGTGACCCAAAAGCATCGATGGGCAGTTACTCTCAGGCCTATGGAACCATATGTAAATCTGCACTGCAGAGTCTTCCAATATCAAAGTCCTCCCAGCAACTTGAGCAGTGAATATGGAAGTGTTCTAACCAGGTGAAGTACAGCTCATCAGTCCCCTAACCGAGCCCTTCAGTTTGTTTTTGACTATTTTCTATGACTCTTCTGGGGTAAATGAACATAATCAGTGGTGGCTTATTTTCATTAAAATAATGTGGAAAAGTGTTTTAAATACAGGCATGTTCTGCTACAACATTTAATAGCTTACCTACCACGTAATGCTGTGATATTGCAAATACTGTAATAAATACTTTATATTGCACTACAGAAAATCTTTGTCTTTCAATTAATGTTTGCTGTGTGTGAAAGGGAAAAATCCAGAGGTATCTTATTCAATGAGTAATATGGTATTTTATTTGTTTTTTGCTTTCAGAAAGCAATGTTTCAAGAGATACTGTTGCTGAAACATCATGAAGTTGTTATCAGGCTACAGTGGGACAATAGTAAACTTTAAAACTAGATTCCTATTTTAATGCTGATTTTTGATACATTCTCCTCATTAACTTGAAGTTATTATAAGAAGTCTTTTCCCTGAAATTTTACTTGATCTATGATAAATGATTCTTATTCCAGAATGCTGGGACTACACTTACAGAGGGGATTCAGGCACTAAATTCTAACATGTGAGTATCACTGCCATTGCAGGAATATCCATTTTATCTTGTTGTATGTAAACACCAAAGGCTAGTTAAGTAAAAAACCAAAACACTCACTTCTGATACCAGGTGTGGTCACTGAAGTCTGGTAATACCAGGCTGGAAATGCAGCTCTCAGGGAAGTCCTGGTTTATTCAGGTATATTCATAAAATAGGCATTTCCTATCTATTTCAGGTACAAGTAGATACAGGAAATGGCAATGACAAGGTGAACATGTTGTGTAGTGCTCTGTGCAGTGTGACGCCTCTTATGAATCCAAGATGCCTGTTATTCACGGAAAAGGGAGCCTACTGCTTAATTCAGGGTTGTGACTTCCACTGAAAGACAACACCCAGCAGATTGATGATACAATGAGATATCTAAGATCTTCTGTGAACCTGATCTCAGAAGTGATGGGCTGTAACAATCTTTTATTCTTAAAACGGCTTTTTTTATTATAAAGTGAATTAGTTACTCTGCAATATTTGTATGCACCTACAACATCTGGTAATCAACACAGCACTAAAAGAGATGTGTCATTCTAGTTCTGGTCAGGAACATGCTTTTACACTGAACACACCATGCCGAGTAAGAGAAAATTCTAAAACTCTAAAAAATACAGCAAAATTCTAAAATATTAATGTAATCTATGACTACAGCAATCACTAAATATCTAACTTTCTTACGGAACGGTGCTGGAGCTGTTGGGATTGGAAAAGGCTGGGGAGGTGTGGAATGATGTAAGAATTGCACAGAACAGAGCTAGCACATATATAATAGCATACGTATCCATATAGCCTATCTTCCTGTCTACAGTAAAATAATTTCTATCAATCATCTATATCATCTGGCAGAGAACAACTGTATTGATCATTACAGTTCATTTTGGGACTCACCAATAACTGGATCTGATTCATTACTAAGAGCAAACAAAATAAGTATACACACAGCATTACAGCATTCCTTTATGAATTTATAGGTATTTAACAAATTATGGGTTGTATCTGAAATAGCATACAGTTGCACAATATGGAATAAGCATAAGAAATCCAGTTCAGCTTCGTTTCCAGTAATTGTTACAGATATGTAAATTATATAAAGCCTGCTACCATGGGAGCTGGCATCCTCAAAAAGAAACCAAAGTTTTCAAGACCCTACTAAAGTTACCTTCAGGAATTGATGTAGCCCCTTGTCTCCATCTGTCAGCCACATACCTGAACTGGTTTGCTGAGCTTGCAGCTAGTGTCACAAGTGGCTACTCAGGAAACCCAAGCTAATGGGAATGGGAAATCCATGTGAGACCATTCTTCCCTGTAATCTTTTGAGACGGTATGGTACAAAGATGGGGGGGGAACCCAAACAGTTTGGCAATCCTGATGGATGCCAAGCAGAGAGAGGCCAAGCTGAGGACAAAAAAGCTAAGGAACTAAATATTATGTACAATGTATTCATGATAGCCTCTATGTCTACCTTCTGTCCTCCAAAGACACTGTAACTCAACAGCATGAACCTACGGGCTAATCTGGACTGGTTAAGCTGCATGGTTAAGCTTGATACCGAGAGAGAAACTCCTGAGCTTGAAAATTCCAGTAGCCTTATTCCTTCCATTGTTCTGAGTCTCTTCTTTCCCTGTCTTCACATGGACAGATGTGCTAATAAATAAGCATCCCTCCTCCCTGCTGTCACTTAACAAATTGGAGTTAGATTGTCAAGGAAGTTACTACTTGGCCAAGACAGCATTTTAGATGCTTCATCAAACTCTGGACTCAGCTGAAAGGAGTCCTAAGCCCAGGTCTTTCTCCATTAATAGCATGTCCATGTCTTTTCTTATGGCCTTTCAGCTGTGGCTTTCAGCTCACCCCTAGGGCAATACTGCCCTTATACATGAGGGAATAAACCAATAGAAACAGAACCAATAAGCTTGAGAAATGATAAAAACTAAAGCTGAGCGTGTCCTGCTGGATAGGACCATGACCACAGATAAGGGAAAAGTTGTTTACAATTTTTTTTTCTCCTGTAAACCTTCAAAAAGGTGCCTCATATTTGATTCATTATTAGATACAAAGAAGAGAGAACTGTACCTGAGAAACAGTTGTTTTTAAACACATTTTCCAGTTCATGCACATATGTGTGTGTGTGTGTCTTTCCTGGACTGAACTCAAGTCTTGAATTTTCTATTTTTTATTCTTTCCTTCTGAAAGTGGAATTGTTTTGTCTGCTGAAAATATTCCCTGAGCATAATATAAAGAGACTCTGACTTTATTTCTTTGGTTTAAGCATCTCGGCAATTTAATAACTTTATTTGAAACATAATGTGATAAGGTTGCTGGGTACCACATGACTTTATTGGGCAAATTGTGCCACCCGAGTCTAATGCTGAACACATTTCCACTCACTAACCATGAAGAATATTGCCTATGATGCTTAGAGCCATCATAAACAAGTTACTTCCTCATTCCTCTTTGACAGTCAGTAATTATATGGAATTAAATAGTATTTCTATGATCATTTTTTAGTCTTGAAGGTCCCCAGGATTTTGGGCATGAATTTTCCCATCTTCTTGTCTTTGGCATCTGTGTCATATTCCTCTTCACTCTGACTTGTGTGTTCATCCTTTTTGCAGAAGACCTCAAATCTACTGTAGACTCGCTTCTCCTTCCGCATATTCTCCATTTTCTTCAGGAGAGTATCTCTATCCTCTGATGGTTGCCGCTGAAGATTTCGTTTCTGACTCCCAAAACTCTCTGACCTGTGGATGTTACAGCTTTTCTCCTTCTCACCTTTCCTTTCCAAGCTTGTAGTTGACTTTGAAAGATCAGGATTACTAGTGGATGGTAGTTGCTTGGCGAGTTCAGCTCTGTTCTTCTGACTGTTTGCAGAGATTTGTTCCAAAATCACCTTGGTATCATCACGGAGGTTGCTGCTGTACAGGATGTTAGCTGTGGATGAAGGAAATCTCCCCTGTGTGGGCTGGTTGCTTTTGGGAGGAAATGGTGTTGCAAATTTAGGGGTTTTTTCTTCCTCCATCATTTCCTGACAGTCCCCTATGGAAGATCGTTTGAGAACCACAGCCTGCTTATCAGACTTTCCGCTCTCCAAAGTGGGCTCCTCCTCCAATTTCTTTTCACCTTTTGGGTTCAAAAACTGCTTCAGCCGTAATGACCCTTTTCTTAAAAATTCAATTGGATTTTGTTCTTGTTTTGAACAGTCTTCCTCAGATTTATTGAGAGAGCTGTCAGATCCTTGACTTCTAGATAAGTTTTCAAGAACTGATGTGGTACTTGTCCTAATCTGTGGTTTCTTCAGTTCTGTATTGACTAATTTTTGAGTGTCTTCTTTGAATGTCACTCTTTT